TCTCACACACAGGTGTTTAGATTGAATGGAGTTATACTTGGCCTCCAGAGGGATGTATAAAAAAACTTAAGCGGCACTTTGAAGAACTTGTAGATTAAGTAAATCAATGTCACAGTGTGATATTAGACATAGTACTTGCATCAGTGAGAGTCTGAACACAAGAAGCTGCTTGTCCAAAATTCAGGCTTAACTTCTGAAGAGTGGCTATTTTGTAACCGACTAACTATTTAGGCCTTTAAGCAGGTGAGTTTTTAAAACTCCTGAGAATCAGGTTCATTTCTAAGAGGCTCCACAGTTTTGAAATAAAATGTATCTGCTAATGAATGATGTCTGGTGGATTAGTATGGTTCCCTAAGGGAGGTTACTGCAAAGGCAGAGCATTAGGAGTTTTCCTCCATTTGAAAATGTCTTTGCTAATGTAGTCTTCTGAGTTGTGCAGCCTGCTATTATAAGATGTAGATGACTTAGAATATTTCTAGAAAGAGATGAACAAATACAGGGTATAAAATAGAATCTTCCATAGTGTTAGCTAATTGAAATCACATAATCATCTACAGTAAGGTGACCTAGGTTACAAATTCCTTCTGTCTTTTGATTTCTCCCTTGGAATTTTAACATGTTACCCAGTTCATGAATTGTCATCCATTTGTCTTGCAAGTTTGTCACCTCTGTGAGGAAATTCAGCATCTGTGAGGAAATGTAACTGATTGCTGTACATGCACACAGTGTCCTGTCTGGGACTTCTTGTCTGAAAAACAGTGTCACGTTTCTGGTCAAGAGCTTGTGCCTTCAAGTGATACCAGCAGTGCCAAATGAAATGTGCCCAGGGACAAATTCCTGGGCCTAGGTCCCCTGCCTAACACATCTCTTGGTCTCAAAGATGACTAATTGGACTAGTCCAGGATGGACTCCAGGAACTGGCTGACACTGGAGCAGTGTGGATGAGAAGCACACTGCTTTTATTTATTTCTTGGCCTCCTTTTACTTAGCCATGTATCCTCGCTTGCCAAAGGTCTCAACACACTGATGTTGATGTAATGAAAAGTCTTTTAAAGCTCTCCATATTTTTGCCTTGTGGAAACAAGGGAAAGAAAGGGTGGGTAATGTATGGGTTGGTGGCAGCAATAGTGTAGTGGGTTTGGTTCAAACCAGGCAAAAACACCAATTAAGTGTAGTGGGTTTGGTTCACCAATCTGAATCATGGTACTAATTCAATATAGCAGGTTGAGCACTGGCCAAATGCCAGTGCACTCACCAGAATTGTTTATTCATTTTCTTCTGTGAGATAAGGATTAGAAGGAGGACCAGAGCAGGCTCAAAACTTTAAAAGGTATAAAGAAAGCTTTATTAACAGAACTAAAATCAAAATAATAAGAAATCAGAATAAACCTTCAGAACACTTTTCCTCCCCCCAACTCTTCTTTCTTTTCCCACTGACAACATAAAGAGACAAAACCTAATATTTTCAGTCAGTTTACTATCTCTAAAATAATCTTCCTTCAGTTTACTTAGGGAGAGGAGTTTCCCTTGCCATGCCATGCAGACTTCTTCACAAGAAACAGTTCTCTCATGGCTTCAATGTCACAGCAAAGCAGCTGCCCAGGAGATGGAAATCTGTCGCTATGTGAAAGTCACTCCCCTTGACTTACAGCTTTCCCCACAACAGTTTTCTGGTGCAATCTTTAGCTAATGGGAGAATGAGTGCTATTTTAGGGCATTAACAGTAATCATTGAATCATAGAATGGTTTGGGTTGGAAGGGACCTTAAAGATAATCTAGTTCCAACACCCCTGCCGTGGACAGGATCACCTTCCACTAGACCAGGTCACTCAAAGCCCCACCCAGGCTGGCCCTGAACATCGCCAGGGATGGGGAGTCCACAACATCTCTAGACAGCCTGTTTCAGTCCCTCACTACCCTTATAGTAAAGAATTTCTTCCAAATATCTAATCTAAACTCTTCCAGTTTGAATCCACTCTCCCTTCTATGAGCACATGCCTTTGTCCTAACAGTACATGCTGTCTCCACCTCTCTTGCAAGCCGCCTTTAGGTACTGGAAAGTGCTACAAGGTGTCCCTGGAGCCTTCTTTTCCCCTGGCTGAGCAGCCCCAGCTCTCTCAGTCTGTGCCCTGTTTATTTGGGGCATGTCTTAAAGATCTTTCCATCACTGAAGCTGGTTAAAAAGTCCAGATTGTGCTGCTCACTTTTTATGTGAACAGAATTTTTGGAGTCACTTTTTAGATACCAAAGAATTAAATCCAATGTTTGATTTTGGAAATGTCATTTTTTTTATGAGCATCTTGTGGTAATAATTATTGCATATCAGTGTATTCACTTTTTTCTGATTACTAATATTTTGTATCAGCCACTGTGGACGTCTTGTGCAAATGGTGTTCCCTGGGGAATGTAGAAATCTTTTCTGTGTTACATACCATTGCTTATATGGTGGTGGTGCTTCTGTTGTAGCTTTAATATGAATAGTTGCACAGGTGCCTGTTGAGCAGAAGCTGCAACAGATGTCTGGAGGGAGCACCAGCTTAGCTACCAGGTATACTGTGAAGCCAGGATTTTTCAAAGGTGGTCCACCTGTGGTTGTATCAAAGTCTTGAGGAGTTTATCAGAAGGAAAGTAAGGTTCATACTTGGTGTGTTGGGGGTTTCCCCTTCAGGTTTTGTGAAGAGATAAAAAGAACTACTTTACTTCCTTAAATCAGCAGGGGTCTGTCTGTTTTGGCACAGAAGCCTTAAATTTTCCCTTTTAAGCCAAAGTTTATCTTCACTTCTGTAATTCAAACGCTGTTAGCTGATGACTAGAGCAGCCCTTTCTAAAAATATATGTGGAGTCTGAGAAACAGATCGCTGTTTCACAGGCAGCAGTGTATGTGCAATATGTGACCTTGACTTTAATCTTATGAGCAGTGTACCCTTATCTGCAGTGTAGGATTTTAAATTGCTTTTTAGAAATGGATAAAGAAATCAGCAGGAGTTTATAGGTTCTGTTGTTAAGTAATGGGGATGAATATGCTTCTGTGATGTTTATCAAAGCAAGGGAAATATCAGCTTCAGTTTGTATTGTGGTTTTAAAAAAGAAAAAGCTGACATGTGACTTGGATGCAGCATTTAATCACAAGATACCTTTCCTTTTTAAGTTGTGTGACAGTATTCTCATCTAATATAGCTGTGGTAGTTCAGTGGGAGCTTTACAAGAGCAGTAAGCAGTGGATATCCATCCTCCAAATAAAAATCAGCATGTATTAGGAATCAGGTATTCCTTAAGGGCTACTGACTATTTGAAGATAGTCTTTAGGTGAGCTTGAGATGGACTTTCCCTTTAATGTTAAATCTATCACTATCCTGTACTTCAATATCATGCCTTATCTTAGTAGTATGAACATTTGTGATATATGTGATTACATACAACTAACAATAATAATGCAATTTGTCTGTTAAACAGAAAGGAAAGGCACACTGAACTTAGAGTAACAGAATTGGCCTTTATTTCTTGGAAACTCAAATGATGTTAAACTGATCACATTTATGAGGGCTTATTGTATTATTCAGTTAAGGAATAGCTGAGTACTGGATCTCACCTTACACAAAAATAAGTCTTTTTTACTCATATCACTGGTATTTATTTGTGTGGTGACTTTTCCAGTGAGTAGGAAAATGTGAGAAGCAGATCTCTGTGTGCTGCAGTTAAGTCTTCAGCAGCTCAGTTAGCAAAGTTCATCTCTGTCCTCTGAGAACAGAAAATCATATCTCTTTTGTCACCTTTGGGGTAGTCTAGTTTTTTTGGCTGAACTTCAGAAGTAAGAAATACATTCTGGTGTGTAAACTCTGAGTAATTTTGTTGATAGGTAGCTGATGCTCACACTTTATGAAACATGTGAAGATGAGTGGACTGTGAGCCTCAAGAGTCGTGCTCACCTCTTGATTGCAAATGTAGGCTCGTCAACCAGAAATTCTACCAGTCTTGTGCCTGAGGCTTTTTCTTTATTTTTTTTTTAAATAAAAAAAAGGAAAAATTTTTGCTTCCTAAAATGACTGCTTTTGGGGGGGTCAGTTTTCTTGTTTGTTTTGTTTTGTTTTGCTTTTTATTAGACCATTCTGTTTGATCTGATAGCTACCTTCTATATGTGTACATGTTACTCTGCTGATTTCTTAACTATAAATAATTTTTAGCTGTGGATGAATCTTTTCCTTTTCATCTCATTTTTTCTTATTCTTGAAGACTGAGTGACTGAGTTTTCAGCAAGCCTTTGAGTTCTTTAACCAGTGTTGGTCTCTGACCAAATAGGCAAATCTGATCTTATTCTTTAAAAACCAGTGAGCCAACTGATAGTGAGCCAACTACCAGCTTGATAAGTTTATTTAAATTATTTTTTGTTTGAAGACTGTCTTAAACCAGAAACAGGGAATGTACCATTTCATGGTCAGATGCAGTGCTTACTGTGAACTCCCTGATGCACATCCACCCATTGCTGTCCAGAGTTGATACAGCATCTCCTGGAAAGGACAAAATATTTCTCTCACATACAGATACTGGCATATGTTAATGTTAATCCAGTGCTTGCCTCTCCCACAAAAAGGCAGCAAAAGCAATGTGTAGGGGAAGGATGAGGCTGCTTTTTGTGGTCTCATTGGAAGATGCTGTGTAGCCTAGAAGAGCTGCTAATTGTGCTGGAGAGTAAGTATTTCTGAGTTTCCTTATCTCTAGCTCATCCTGAGCAGAGGAAAAGTCTTCTAAACCTTTCCATTTGGTGTTTAAAGCTGCGAGTTCCTCTTTCTACCGCTCTCCAGGCCTTTTCACTCTCCTCAGTGGCTGTGAGATCTCTGGTAACCTGCTCCTGTTCTCTGTAGCCTCTCCTCCAGAATATGATATGATTTTGTGAAACACCTATTTATTTTTGTTTGGAGGGGAAAAGAAAGAAAAAGTAATTATCTTTATCAGGAAGGAAGCTGCTGTTGGACAGTCTGAAATGCTAGAAGGCATCTGAGAAGATGCGTTTGGTGGGTGGAGAAGGTATTGTGAAAGGAAGCTGTAGTATGGGAAGTATAACCACAAAGCTAATGACAATTGTTTTATGAAAATAAAACATGCATATGCTCATGTAAAGCTTTAATGCTTCCTGGTGATTTCAAGTCAGCAGCAGTTATCTACGTAAGCTCTTACCTAAAGAATTTATATCAAAGAAGAAGCATGTCTTGAGCATAAAGCGTGTTTAGTCCCAAATGCAGTAACAATAGCTGTGTGTTAGTTTCAGCTGTTTTCCTCTGCCTACACAGACGTAGCAAGTAGTGTAAAGTTTTTTTTTATGTTGCATTTCAGGGTTCAGAAGATTGTTGACTCTGTGCAGGACTGATGGACATAGCTCTAAATGAAGAGTAGTCAATGATACTGTCATTGTAACATTTCAGCACAGAAAACAGTTTTAATTACTTTGAAGTTTAGTTAGTGGAAAAAAAGAAATGTGGAGCAGAAAAGCAAAGTCACAAACCATGTAAACCTGGTACACCTGACATGAACTCCAAATGTTCCGTGATATTTTAGAAATAAATAGTCAATCAGTTGGGGCTGGATTCTTTACAAGAAGAAATAATAATATATAGACATTAGAGTTTTAAAATCGATATGTAGATGTAAAAAAATATTAGATTTGGAAAGATAATTTATGGAACTCCACAGATGCTGCAGGGTATCAGCCACCCATTTTTTAAAAAATTGCACTTTTAATTAAAAGATACATTATCTCTAAAATTAATGCCTGTACAAGATGTATATTAGTATTTGAAAGTATTGAAACAGGCAGATGTTCTACTTAGAAGAACACAAGATGCGTTTTATCAGTTACTCAAAACTTGGAAAAGCACCAAAGTCTTTTTCCTACAAAATACCACATCAGCGGTACTTTCTTCCTTCTGTTGCCTTTGTGTCCTCTTAGATTCTTCTGTTTGTCCTCTTGGGTTGTTGTGATATTGCTGTATGTGAGATGTGTATTGATTTATTCCCAGCCTATTTCTATATGTTCCTGTATGATCATGGATTTTTTTTTTTTAAGTGTTATATATAAGATTATTAATTAAAGAGTGTATGTATGTATGTTTCCAGCAGAAGTGATCTGCTTCTGGTGTTCCTGTACTTATACTGGAAATTCCTCTGCCAAATCAGAACCTGAATCTGATGCCCTTGAAATTTCCATTAGATGTTATGGTAGCAGTTCCCTTTTCTGCACTGCTTTTTAGAATTCAGGGGTGCTCGCTGTGTAAGGACAAACAGACAGAGAGGAGAGAGGTCAGTTTTTGTTGATCAGCCTGATTCATTGCATGCCTAGTATCAGAGAGATGTTGCAGAGGCATTGTTTGGATGTGAGAAGACTGTCATTGAATTTCAGGAAGGCCATACTGCAGAGCACTGCATAGTGAAAAAGCACTGATATGAGAGATTGATAAATGTGTGGACAGCACAATATGTTTGGAGAACAGGAAGCCAGTAGGATGCTTAACTTGGATATTCAGGAAGTAGGATGAGCTTCCAGATGACTCAGACTTTTTATAACTCGTTGTTCTTTGCCCAAGCCATCAATGCAGATATTTTCTTTTGTGTGACACTGAAGTACTTTTAAAGTGGGCTTTTTTTTTTTTTTTTTTTTTTTTGGCTTCCCAGAAGTTAACAGGAGGACTAAAACAAAATCAAGTTCTTATTAGGACTATGTCAGCTTGGGTTTGGTATAATTATTTTCTTTTCCTAAGTTAATAATGCTGTTGGTGTTACCATGTCTGCATATTGAGAACCACTGACTGATTCCTGTCACGTTAGGTAGAAGGGAATGTGTTTTGAGGAAGCATTTGGGAAAGGGTGGTGTCAAGACTGAAGGTGTGGGACAGGGATGTCAGAGTTACAGAGAAACAGGTATAGTAGGGCAGGGAGGTGTAAAGACAGGTCACAAAGCATTCAAAGTCAGACTTAATTAGTTTAATTGCTAGTGAGTCAAGTTGTTAGGCTCCTGGCAGTATTTGTGTCAGCCAAGATAGATCCTGTGCCTTTGTGCTCTTTGTCTCTTCACCTTCTGCTCTGCTGTAGTGAAGCGATGGTCTGTGAGATGGCTGTGGTGGGGATGTGACCCCAGGTAGGCAGCTCCAGTGAGAGTGGCCTGCAGGAAAGTGTGAAGTCACTCTTTTTTTCCCTCCAGTATGTGAAATACCTGTATTAAATTGGAAGGCAAGCCTTTGGAAATATTTCTCTCCACAGTATTTTATTTCTCCTTCTTGCTTTCAGCACTGTCCTGATTCACTCATGGTTTCTTGTAGCAGGCATGGGAATACGGCTTTCACGTGAGAAGTGAAAACCAGATGTTTCAGATGAGTCCCTGGAGCACCAGGATCTAAAATGCTTTTAAAAGAAAGCTAAGGACATGACTGGGCAGGGTTTTTGCCACTTATGGTCTTCCTAAGAGAGAGATGTGATCACAAGGATGAGATATTTTGGTGACATCGTTAGCTGAAGGATGATTACACAACTAAGCTTATTTCTTCTGCCAATATGCAGAATAATGTTCCAAATTAAAATTTGGAAAGATGACAGGAAGCTTACTTGAAGAAATACTCATTAATTAAATTAATGGTGTGTGAATTAATTTCATTAATGCACAATTAAACACCAAATATCACTGTGCGTACCCCTTTGCAAACTTATGAACGGGTCAGGTGAAGTTAGTTTCATCAGAAAGTTTCTCCTGTAATTTCTTCCAGAGGAAGATATTGAAGCCCAGGATTTTCCACATGTTTGTGTTCGTGCCACACAGCACATTAAAGATGTCATAATTCAGTAATTTGGCACTGATGGTATCAGTAACAGGTTCCAGTGTATGTTGCCTTTCTTTAGAAAAAAGGACTTTGCATTGCTGCTGAGTAAAATACCCTGTTCATCTGCAGTGCCATTCATTTCCCAGTTTTTTGAGGAGTGTAGCTTTTAACTGTGTCTCAGAGTTGCACTTTTATTATTTGTGTGCCTGCCTATAATTTATTTTGATGTTAAACAGTTAGAACTGTCTAAAAACAAAATGTTACTTGGCTACTCTGGCAGTATGCAACTTTCTTTAAATCTGTCATTGTCTTTGATTCATCACACAATGGGAAAATATTTGTTCCATATTTAATCAGTTTAGGTGTGTGTAAGCCCAGTGAGCAGAGCAGCATTTCTTTCCATAATACTTTGTCCAGTCTCGGCTGGGATGGACAATTTGCTTTGATAACAAACCTTGCCTTCTCATGAGACTGGATTAAAAACGATAAATGAAAGTGGATACCTAGCAAGAATTCCCTACCTGGCAGACTGAATGGCCCAAAATGAAAAACTGCATGAAAAAGAAGCTTTTGCCATCCACAGACGTGTTGCCTTCTCCTCCCCACACACATAAACTTGCGACTATTGCTTAGCTGGGAAGGTGACCAAACTAATGTTCAGACAAAACTCTGTGTAGGTTATTACACTCCATTGTTGGTCATATAGTTTGTGTTCACAACAAATTAAGTGTTTGATTAATGAGTAAATTCCCAAAGAATGCAAATTCCACAGAGGTAATGTATTTTAGCAAGCATTGGAATGGGCTGCTGGGGGAGGTGATGGAGTCACCATCCCTGGAGGTGTTCAAGAAAGGACTGGATGTGGCACAGTGCTGTGCTTTTGTTGACAAAGTGGGGATTGGTCACAATTTGAAGTCAATGACCTTGGAAGTCTTTCTAAACTAAAAGACTCTATAGTTCTTTGATATCATGGAAAGTTATCATGAAGTGTAGCAATATGATAATGTCCTCTTCTTACTACATCAGCATGGATATTTAGTGACAGGTACAATGCTGCCAAGACACCCTGATATCACAAATGCAGGAGGAATGTTTGCTCTTCTAAAAAGAAGACCATTTGTCAATATGTGCTATTTTAGTTCATCAGAAGCGACTTGGAAGACTTGGACTACATAAGAAATAAACTAAAAAACATGTAAGCTATAATTTGGGTAGCATGAAAGTACCTGCAAAAGACATTAAAATGCAAAAATAACCTTTAAGGGATGACTCAAAAGGTTTACTTTTAAGATAGACTAAGGAAGTAAGCGTGAGGCATCTCTGAACTGCACTTCAGCTCACTTTTTCTGGGGACAGAGAAGGCCATGTAACTGGGACCCACAAACTCCTTTCCATTTAGTTTTTTCCATTTCTGGTATGACTGAAGTACATGTCCCTGACAGATTTTTTTCTGGTAATGAAATGAAGCCCTCTTTTTACAAATCGTTAGCTCTTTAGTTAACATTTGATCTGTGAATTGTCTTACCACTCCAAACTCACCAAGAACAGACATACAGAAGGTAGAAAACTATAACAGTAGTAGAAGGAAAATCACTTTCTGTGTATATGAAATATTCCCAAAACAATCTTAAATTGCAAAGCTAGAGTCTTACTGAGAACCCTTCCCTTCCCTTCCCTTCCCTTCCCTTCCCTTCCCTTCCCTTCCCTTCCCTTCCCTCTTGTTGGAACCACACTTATAAATCTGAGGTTTTTTTCATAAATGAATTGTGGATTTCAGTGAAACTATTCAAAATTCATGCTCAGGTGAAACTTTCTAAACTGAAATGTGATTAAAATGTCATAGCACCAGCAGCTTTATCTGCTCTTTGTCCTTCAGGGTCACTTTCAGAGTAATAGGTTAATTTGTCTAATGATCAGAAAATTAATGATTTGTTTTTCTTCTGCAGAAAGAGTAAAGGTTCTGATTTTGGGTTACATGGAAATTTAGCTTTTCATCAATTAGAACAGCAGCTATTGATGTACACACACACAGCTAATGGCTCTACAGCATTGAGGAGATTACCATGCATTATTTAGGATTTGTTGCTGTTAAATATTTTCCTTCTGAAGGGTTGATCAAGAGTTCAAGTTGTTTCAGTTACATTTCTCAAAGCCTCTGTAAAAACACTGAGCTGAAGAAAGAGGTAGGGCGTGAATAAGGGGGTATGAGGCAGATGCCTG